TCGCTCAGGCGCTCCCGCGTGACCTGCCCGGGCAGTGCCAGCCGGCCTCGGGGCCAGCAGCTGCGCGATCACAAGCTATTCTTGGACCGTCTTCTGGGCACATTGTTTTGACTGGCAGCGGAGTTTCTGGTTCCCTCGAGCGGTTCAGCCCAGAAATGCAGACACTGGCGCCTCGGGCTTGTGGGCCCTGGAGAGATAAGGGAACTGGGCAGCCGGCCCACAGCTGGCGACTCAAGTCGGGGGGAGGGGCAGGGGCCGGGCCGGGAGGAGGGGGGACAGCCCGGGTGGCAGACAAAAGGCCTGGGCTAAGTCCTGACTCCCAGGGCCTCACTTTCTCCTGAGAAATGGGGTGAAGTGTCCCAGCTCGGAGCCACCCCTGACTCGGGGGGAAGACAACTTCGCTCAAGTGCTCCAAGCTGGGTTATAAACTCTCATCACAATCTCAAAGGCTCTTTTGATGCAAAAAAACACGGATGTAGGCCTGGCCGGCGTGGCTCCGTGGTTGAGCATCAATCTAGGAACCAGGAGTCAAGGTTTGAGTCCCAGTCAGGGCACAGGCCCGGGTTGCAGGCTCGATCCCCAGTGTGGTGCGTGCAGGAGGCAGCCGATCCATGATCCTCTCTCATCACTGACATTTCTCTCTCCCTCCCTCTCCCTTCCTCTCTGACATCAATAAAAATATATTAAAAACCAACAACACTGCAGTAGCTGTAAGTCTAGTTGAGAGCAAAGCTGTGCTGCTCTTTCTTGTGTGTCCTCACAGCGCCCCGGGCCTGACCCTGCATGCATTACGCACCAATAACTAATCAATGAAGGTACGGACTGACAGGTGGGTGAGTCACCAGAGCAACACAGAGATACGGGGCGGACCTGGGCCCACTCCTGACCTCTCGGAGCTGGGGTTCCAAGCCCTTAAGCAGCACGAGCCACGCCCCTCCTGCCCCCAGCCTCAAGGACACACCCCAGCAGACCCACTCAAGCAAGCCTTCCCCACACCTCTGCCCAGGGACCCCAGGAGGACTCGGCACCCACACGGAGGTGAACTCAAGTCAAGGGCAGGCCCCACGCGCCCGGTTAGGCCTGTCTCAGCGGGAGCTGGTTAGTGACAAGCCTGGCCCTGGGGCAGGTGCCCAGGAGGCGTGAGAGGCCAGGGAACCGCCAGGGCAGCCGCCAGCGAGCAGCCGTGGGCCGGAAGCTCGTCACTTACAGTCGCTTGATCCCAGACTCCGGCTGGGGGGACATCCTCGGGTGGACGATGGGCGGGGGCTGCAGTATTCGATTTTCCTCTTCTATTTCTTCGCTGGAAGGGGGTGAGAGGCGGAAGGCAAGAGTCAAAAATTCCAGGAGAGCTGGGACATTCCAGAAGGGTGTTGTCTGATGGCCCGGGAGGACTTGCACTTGGAATAAGGGGGCCCTGGAGGCTGGCACCAGTGGCCTCTGCCTGGGGGGCTGCCCCTGGGGGGGGCATGGCAGTGAGCAGGGAGGCAGGCCCTGCAGGCGACGGGCACAGGGGCCTGGGACCCCTTGGCTTTGGGACCGTGTGCGGCATCTCAGGGAGGGGCCCCACATCTCCATTTACAGTTTCCTTTGAAGATTCCGGCCAGAGAGAACTACGGTGGAACCTCGTTTCTCGACCGTCCCCCATCTCGAACAATTCCCTTCTCCACCCGACGCCCTCTCGTGCCGATACCCGTGCGCGCAGCCAGCACCTCGGGGGACAGGGGAGAGAATGCTCGAGAGTGAGGGTTTCCCACTGAACGTCTCAGCGAGTCGCGCTGGGAAAGGCTTAGAAGCTGTTCTAGAACAGGTTCTTTTTTTTTTTTTTTTTAAATATATTTTATTGATTTTTTACAGAGAGGAAGGGAGAGAGATAGTTAGAAACATCGATGAGAGAGAAACATCGATCAGCCGCCTCCTGCACATCTCCCACTGGGGATGTGCCTGCAACCCAGGTACATGCCCTTGACCGGAATCGAACCCGGGACCTTTCAGTCCGCAGGCCGACGCTCTATCCACTGAGCCAAACCGGTTTCGGCAGAACAGGTTCTTTTTGCTTCTGTTGCTGCTTATCATGATCGTTAAATTTCCCTTTTTTACTGTAATTTCCTTTCCTTTTCGTTAAATGCTCATTTACATTTTGTGTCCTCTTAGTTTTTAAAGTGTTTCTTTACAGATTCAACAGCACAAGAGACAAGTTCTGTATATAAGAAAGGTTAAAACGGAATCATTTGGGGTCTGGAACGAATGAATTCAATTTACACGATTTCTAATGGGGAAAAAAGAGTCGGCTTTCCAACAGCCTCCGGAACCAAGTAAGTTCGAGAAACGAGGTGCCACTGTACTTCCTGTTTCCTGTCCCTGCAAATGCTGGTCTCCATGCCTTTGTGTTTTCTCCCGTCTGGAATACGCCACCCGCACCTCAACCTCCCCCC